TGAGTTTGTTCAAGAACTCCCCAGGCTTCCTGCCACGACACCTGCCTACCTCCTCGACAGCTCCCTGGCTGGGCCACTGGCTTGCTCAAGGCTTCCAGGTCTGTGTGGGCTTGGAGATAAAGCTGATTTTAGGACTTGCAGTTTCAAGAATATATAGCTCCAGAATAGCTTCCCCTTGGGAACGGCTCTGAAGCAAGGCTCTGCTGTCTGATTAGCATTTCAAAATTCTAGAGCTCATTCCTCGCAGGAACACCACCAGATCCCGAGCTGGTGGAAGAAGCTTGTCAGGCAGCACACATCTCCAACAGCATCAGCACCTGCTGCAGGGGCAGGGGCTGTTGTCCAGTCCCCTTCCCACAGCCCTGACCTCTGCGGCTTTGCTTTGCTCTTTGGGCCTTTACTGGGCTGTGCCCAGCATTCTACTACCAGCTAAACCTGGGTGCTCATCACAGAAGGAGCTTGGTTGTGTTTTTAAGGCACAAGTGTGGGCAGAAGGGAAGCTTTTCATGAGTGAGCCATGCAAAACACTTTGAGAGTGGGCAGTGTGATGAGAACACCTTGCCTGTCCCTTTGCTGATTTAGTCACACGAGCATCAGCTGTTTTTCCAGGCACAGAAAGCATGAGCACTCTGCCTGTACAATCAGTGCCTGAGGATGGACAGGCTCCTTTGTGCTCTCCTTCATTCTTACACACCAATGGAGCAGCACAGGGCTGTCCAACACAAAGGATTTCATGGCAAGGCAAAACAAATAGCAAAGGAAATGGGGCAGCTGTACATATTTCAATTGCTGGAGAAGGATATGGATGAAATGGGGAAATTAAACACTTAAGCAGTAATTCACAAAACAATCCTGCTTTGAGACTGTACTTTAACACTTTTGAAAATGAACTCCCAGATCTTACTGTGGTCAGGGCTGGCAGCAATATTGTTTGGGCTCTGCCACTGGCAGCTGGTTATCTGCACACTGAGAGTTCAGCTGCAAGTTAACTTCTAGTAGTTCTTCAGAGAGGTTACCTGCTCCAAGGAAAGCAAAAGATAGGAAATGTTACATGTGTAGCAGGCTGAGATAGCCTGAAGCAAAACTATGAAGGCTGCAGAAATGGTGCTTTCTGTACAGCCTCAGAGGGTCATGCTGCCTGCTGTTACTAGAAGCAGCCCAAAATACCACCGAAAGCATACAAGGGATATATAAAAAAAATATCTTTAAGATTAGCTAATTAATGCTTTGTAACCAGCCTGTTAAAAAAAAAATCTTCTGATTAAACTGCTTATTAAGTACAACAAGCAAAAGGGTACAGATGAAGGACTTGGAGGTTCTTATGGGCTGGATACATGTGGCAGCTTGACAATTCTACTGATCTGCCAGTCTACGAGTCCACTTGGGTAGGACATAAACATCATCATCAATGCTCTAGTCTCTGAGAAAACACTATTCTGTGTTCCCACATATTCATAGTCTTATTGATATTTGTGGGAACATATTCATGTTCTCACAAATTACATATTCTGGTAATGCTACTGGCTGTTACGTGCTTGTATCATTCATAAAAAGAACTCCCTGGTGCACATCTGCAAATTTTCTTTGAATATTGTTATGGTTTCTCTTCTGAACACATTCTGGGCAGAGGAATGAGCCCTGCGAGCACAGGAGAGCTTTACATGGAAGGGATGTAACTAAGAATACATTTCTCTAAGTTCATGCATTGGCTTTTGATCTGGGGTAAAATCTTATGTCTTCATTAACTTCCACTGACCTTCAGTGCTTACACAAAGTGGCGCCATTATAATTTCAAAATGCTTTTCCAAGTCATTTCTACTTATGGCAGAAGGAAAGCATGCTAGAGACGGAGCATGCCACCAGAAGAGGCAGATTCCTCACATACAGATGTGTCTTCATCTCACAGAAGTTTTAAAGGCCTGTGGCTTGGATGCAAAAGTTGGAAGTATGACCCTCTGAGGCAGTAGGGCAGATATTTATTATAAGGATTCCCTCTAAGGAAGCAAATCTGTCTTTAAAGATGCTGATGAAATAAAGACCAAATTTGAGAGAATGACATTTAAGGAAAAAGAAACTATTTCTGTTTTGCTAGATACCTTCAGCAGAAGTCAGACTACATACTACACCCACCAAATAATTTCCTACAGGATCCAAATCCCAGACATCACCCCAAGTTCTAATTTTGGAAGACAATTAAGTTCTTCTCTTGTTTGGTGGTTTGTAGTAATCCCCAAACCTCTGCAGTCTAGGTAACACCCAACATCTCATTTCAACCAACAACCATCCATCAGGTGTCCAATGCAGTGCCTATGTTTACCTCTCATCTTTAAGGAAGGAAAAGACATAGTCCTCCTTCTTTGTCTACCATACAATCTAAAGAAGGATAAATTAGGGAGAATTCACCTTCCAGGAATCAGTAATACAGGACTGCACCTGACAAGATCCTGAACACACTCAATTCTGTCTTTTGGCAGAGAGACACACATTCAGCCCTGCTGGACTGAAACAAAGCACAACTCCAGTTGAATTTGCTAGGGCATCCTTGCTGGTTGCTATGGCATGTGTACTCTTAGGAATGTTTAGTTCTGGCTGATAATTTTTTAAAGGATTGGCTTACTTTGTGTAACACAAACTATCAGCCATTAGAAATAAGCTCTGTTTTTTCCATTGGCTCTTCCTCCTTTCTGAAATGGGTGACATTTATCTTTGCTGTCTGGTCTTGAACTGTCCTACATTTCTCTTTTTGCATGTTTTTGTGCTTCTGCACAGAATATAATTTAAAATGGTTGATAGTAGCCCATGCAGTATTTCTACCATTTGTTAAACTTATCACTTCTGTAAAGCAAACAGAGTCCTCTTGAGATGTGCAACTGTTTGCTATAAAAAGCAAATGCTTTAACAAGTATAAAATTACATATGATCAATCCAGTTTCGCTCATAGGTATTTTCAATAAAATGATTATACAGACCACCTAACAGATTTTGTGGATTTCCCTCAAGTGGCATTGAACCCCACTTCAATTCAAGTGGGCTCCAAACTCACACCACTCAAGCCTGAGCTCCTCTGCATGAGTACATTAGCACTGGCTAGGCAGGCCCTCGTTCTGTGTCCGTGCACCTCCAGCATTTCCCTCAAGTGCCCTGATCTGTGCAGCCTCTGGCTCTGCTGCTGCACCGGGAGCGGGCAGACCCTGCTGCAGCCTCACCCCGCCCCAATCTTTGCTGACACTTCAGCAAGCATGGCTGTACAACATGGGATTTAAAAATACCAGTAAGGACATAGAAACTACTGGAAGCTACCAACACTGACGTGAAACCTCACAAAAGACAGAAAGCCCTAATTATAGTTTCTGAACCTATGAAGTCATCTAATACACATATGTTCCTTACACTGAAAGGAGGAGAATGGAAACATGCAGTACTTAATACCATCCTCATAAGGAAGAAAGAAAACCAGATTTTGGAAGCTTTTGGAAACCTACAATTTAGAAAAATCTGCATAAATACAGAAAATCAGCTCTACTTCAGTTTTAAAAAAAAGGCAGTACAAAATAATAAGTGCTTTGGATTTAAATGTAAAAGCAATAGTATTAATTCCACAGTGCCATGCAGCACTGCAAACCTTCATACTACTTATTTTTACTGTTTTTCAGTATCAAAGTTGCCTAACATCGACCTGAAAAATGCTTGATATCTCTCCTAAATGCCCAAATGGAGGAATCTAAGGCAAGGAATAAAGATGGCACATTTACTGATTCAAGTGTCATCAAAAACATTCTAATCAGAAAACCAAAATCAAGCTTCCTCATCCTCTCCTAGCACTATACACCCTGTATAAAATCAAGAACAGTAGAAAGTACTAACAACCTTCACTCACATGTGGAGGACATGGCTGTAATCCTGTATTCTTGGTAGAAGGAAAATAGGAAAATACTGAGAAAGTAATCGCCATTTTTACATAATCATGTCTTAAAACAGAGCTGCACTCTCTAATGAATCCTAGACCGAGCAGACTCTAATGGTAACAACAAAATATTGCATTCAAATAGTCATGGGTGAAGAATTTAAAAATATTTCAATCCTATGTGGCTAGAAATGATTTTAAATATTACATTATTTTGCAGTTCTGTGATAAAAAGCCTTCTTATTTGCTTGAGACAAGACTTCAGAAAGCTTTAGACAGAGCAGATTTTCTTAAATTAGCTTGAAAATTCAGTTTCCAGGGCAACGTAAGCAGGTCTTCATACATCAACATCTCTTTGCACCATTTTTATAAATACGGTTTGCTAGAATGTCATAAAATACTTTTTAAATACAGCAAAGTATTTTGATCACTTTGATCCTTTTCTTTGCCTTTGAAAGAAAGCCGACTCTCCTTTCCTTTCAGAAGAACCTTATCAATAAAACTGTCAAACTGTTTTCCTTTGGAGAGGCTTTATCCCCGAAATGCCTGCAGTGATACCTATGCGTGTAATACACTTCTACCAGCACCTGAATGTTTATGTAACATTTCAGTAGGCATCCCTTATTCATCATCCCTTTTCTTGCTTTCTTTTCAGTTTGCAAGTAGGAGATGTGATTTAGAGTCTATATGGCATGCTGGGAGTCAGCTGGTTATATATAAAATTAATCTGAATGTCTGTTTCACAGAAGCAGCATGAAAATTGCTGATGCCCACCTTGCACATCAAGATCCCCAGTGACTTTCTAACACCTACCAATACATGGAATGGTATGAAAGAAACAAAGTTAACTATGTATCTGTCTATTTTCTCCCCCATTCTAAAAGGGGGGTGTGTGGGGGGGAAATGTCTTCATGATGATGATTGTCTCTGAGGAGAGTGCTTTGCATCACTCCAGTGAATCACCGAAACACGGACTTGAAACCATCAGCAGCAGAGGGGATACATTTCCTCCTTCCATTGAACGAGGAGCAGGCTGCACATTACAGAGTTACAACATGAGGAATGACTCAGGAAAAGAGCACTGAATGACTTTTACCTGCACATTTTACTCCCTGAGCAATGAGGCCCCACATGAAGTTGGCACAGTATTCACACCAGTGCGGGCCCCTGAACGTGTGCACCTGGAAGACAGCAGAAGAAAGGAAAATTACTGAAAATGACCCAACCATTTCACAGACATCAGTATCGATGCATGTAAACACTGCAGAATTCCTCCTCTTCCAAGGTACCACATGCAGCTTCTGGAAGTTTCCCTTTATCATGGCAGAAAAGGAAGAAAGGAACGAAGAAAGATCTAACAAGCAAGACTCTTGCAGACGCGTGGAAAACTGGAGTCCTTCAATCCCGAGCAGCAGAACTGCATCTGTGGAGGTCTGCTCCAAGACCAGGTCAGAGAAGCAGGCACAGCCTTTCTCCCACCTCTTGGCATCCCTCTTTCTAAGCAAGAGCCTGGCTACAAGGCAAAGCTTTTGCAGTAACTGTGCAAGAGTTCACTTTTCAACTTCAAATGTCTTCTGCTACGGCTGCCCCTTCATTAGGCACTGTGTGGAATGGGTAGGGGGCTGCAAGATTTCACCTCACATGGAAGGAGTCCTGCCAGGCAAAAATACCAGTGCCACACAGAAATACTGTAAATTCGCCCAGAGACTTTCCAGTTCAGAATAACTCCAATAGGAAATTAATTTTCTTCAGACTAATGCTACATATTGAAAACCCAAAATCCAAAATGAAAAAAAAAAAAAAAGAATCCACTGAACCAGGAAAAAATTCAAAGCTAAAGAAGAAAAAAACCCCAAAGCTGCTTTCATTCCTGGCTCATATGCTTGTTACAAATCCTGCAGCCACCATTAACTGCTTCTGATTTTTTTCTGATAAAGGTCCTGCTGTAGGAAACCACAGGATTCTTTACAGAGAAAATCATTACTTCCTTAGCCAGAGGAAAAGTCTTTGAGCCGCTACTTAGAATAGACAGGCTGAAAATAAAATTAGTAGCTGGTGATCATAAAGAAATGAAATTTGCAGTGAAATACAGCAAAAATACTTTAGGCTGAAGTCACTTGGTACCTCAGAGTTACTGAGCGGGTGTGGGAGCAGGCAGTAACCTCACGTGTGTGCAGTGCCCAGCCGGAGCAGTGCGGACCAGGACAGGGAAGAAGCTGGAGGAAATGTTTGTTCCTGACATCTGCACACAGCTCTGGCTGTGAACACTGAAAAGCAAAGTGGCCTGACTGAGGTGGAAGAAGTCCCCCATACTACTGATGTAAGAGGCAGCTGGATCCAGCTGACACCCCCACAAGTGACAACACAGAGCAGCACCTGCAATTCAGACCACAGCTCAGTTCTGGCCAAAGGAAGGTCTGCAGCCTTCTGCAGGGCTTTTGGTGCCCTTGGAGCAGCAGTGGGATTGCTGAGAGTCTTCAAAGTTACTCCTGAATTCACCAAGTAATTCACATGCACATCTGTGCTAAGTGAGGCCCCTGACTGCTTGGTCCAGAGAGAGCCCAGGCTGCCTGTCCCCAGCCCTGCTGGTCCCCAGCCATCCCACACACCTCCAGAAGGTGAGATGTGCTCCACCAGACCTCTTCTCCCTGCAGCTCTGGCCAGCTCCCACAAAGCAAACCATGACAAGACTTTCAGCAGCTGTACTCTCCATCTTCTTTTTTCCTCTCGCCACAAAGAGATTTTTCACATCATTCAGTCTGTTACCCACCTGCACTACCCACATCCTTTTTGACTTTCTTCCTCAGCCTGGTGGTTTTTATCCAGGTTTTTGGCAGTGTTCCCTTCCCAGAATAAGAACATTCTAGTATCCTCAAGCAAAGCATTGTGCTTTAATGCCTGCAGGACTAACAGAACTTTTTCAGGGGAAAAAAGGTATCATTTCAGTCACAATCTTTTTTTCTTTTTAGGTCAAATTCCCCCTGAAACATACTTCTCTAAAATATTTCTCAAAAATCCTGTCAAAGAAAATTGAAACAAAATTGACATTTCAAAAGTCCAGACAATAAAGAATTTCTTTTCACAGTATTTTTCAATTTTGTAAGTTTTTTTGGTTTTAGTATCTCTGCACAAAGGAAGGGAATTTTGTTTTGTTCCTTAAAATGCCTACTGACACATTATTAGCTCTTTCTAAATAAAAAGAATTATACTATCCTACTTTGTGTCTCTGTGGTTGCTGATTTCAATCCATCAAACATCAAATCACTGAATGTGCTTTTTGCTGAGGCATTTCTAATGCTGTCCTTAGGTGCTGGAGTCCCAGCTTGGCTTCTCCAGACCCATCCCCAGTGCTGAAAACCTCTCTAAACCTCAGATGTCTGATCTCTAACTGGCTGTTTTATCAGTGAACATTCTTCCTTCTTGGCACATTGCTCCCCCACCATGGTCTGCATGTTTCCATCTCCTCCTGATTCTCCTTAGAAACTCTTCTGCAGGGTCTATCACATCCCAAATCTGCCGTTCCAACCTTTTGCCTCCATTTTTAGTATTGTGAACTTTTTTAATGAGCTCAGTTTCTTACATGTAGTAAGTATGATTCACCTAGATTCTACTTCCCCTGATATCACCCTGGCTCTCAGCCTGCTCCTCAGAAAAGTTTACATGACTCATCATCAGCCTAAAACCGACAAGGACAAGGTGGACTCTCCTCTTCCCTCCCAACACTGCATGTGCTGTCACCCTTCCCAACACCAGGACTGCCTCTGCCCTTCAGAACCCCTGCCTCAGCAGCACTAGCACTGCTGTCTCACCCCATGTAGCCAGGCTTCATCCAAATACTGAAATGCCTTTCCATATAATCAGCTGGATTTACCCAGAGCCTGCTCTGCTTTATGCTGCCCCATCCAAATTACTATTTCTAATCCATTATTCTGATTGCAAACTCAAAACAGATTAAAAGGTGAGGGTAGGTTTTCCCATGTCCCATGATGCTCTCTCAGCCTTGGTTCATCCTTTATATGAGATGGGAGGTTCTCTGGCAATATTAAACAGGAATGGGAGGTTCTCTAGCAGTATTAAACAGGAATGGGAGGTTCTCTGGCAATATTAAACAGGAGGCCCAAAGGCCACAATGTCCTTCCAGCCCTGGTGTACACAGCAGGACAAGATCAGCTCTGAAGCCTCTGTTCCTGGGGATTTCTCAGCAGTGCTGTCTTTCCCCAGAGCTCAGCGGCGCCAGAGCATCAATACTCCCACTTCTGCGGAGTGGTATTGGACTCCTAACCCTGCACTGGTCTGAATACACATCCTCTCTGGGAATTAAACCAGAAACAGTGAGTGATGCCAGAAAATACTGAAAAATTAGTCTTCTGAGGTAGCTCAGAACAGCCTCTAATCTTAGTTAGAGGATGGGTGGGGTCTGGCAGCTAAAAAGAAACACCACCTTAGCATCCCTTTGCTAGTTAAAGAGCCAGCATCTGCAAACAATACTGCATTTATCACAACTCTGTTTAATACAGCATTCTTATTTTCATATTTAATTCTCCATTCTAAAAACCTGCCAAGCAACTTCTCTGTTTTCAAAACTAAAAGATGCTTTCCAGAAAAATTTCTAAAAACACACCCAGCAGAGTCCCAGAGATCCTGACTTAAATTACAAGGGGTTTCTTTCCCCTTGTAAAAAAGAGCATCTGCCATATGCAGATTTTACTGTCTTATAAAATGTGAGAGAGCAGGATTGCCAACTGTGGCTTTACATCCCCCAGTCCTTCCATTCTCACTCCCACCCAAAAATCTTCTTTTCTCTCTTTCCAAATGGGAGCAATTTTTTTAAAGAATCTGGAAAATGAGTGCATGAAAGACCAAATTAAACTGGTTTTAATCTTTATTTGTAAAATTCTGGGAGAAGAAAATAAATTTAAAATAAAAGTCTAGAGAAATTTAAAGGAAAATATCTGCTTCAGAAACAATATAAAATACTATTACTAAGCTGTCCTGCAAGTCTGAGGTAAGAGGAGAGCCTCATGTTAGGTTTACACCCTAGACATTTCTATTTTGAACTCTCCTGAACTATCAACAAGGCATAATAAACATTAAACTACCGTGAACGGTATAGGAGAAGTTCTTGCTCAGGCTTAAAAGGTATTTTCTTAGACACGAAGAAAAGTACCTTAATTCTTGTGATTAACAACTCTGAGTGCTAGAAAATTTCACTTATTTTTGTTTTGCATTTAATTAATTTTTTTTTAAGAAAAGACAAAATTTTAGGAGAACCAAATATAAAATGACCCAGTGCTGACAGAAGATTATAAGAAAAGCTGTGAAGTCCTCAAGCAGATCTCTCCCCATTATTTCTCAGGCTCTATAAAGGTCACTGTTGAAATTAGTCACCTGTGCATCTTGTTACTCCACTTATTTTTTATGCTTTTGGTTTTTCCAAGGCAGTTATTCAGCTACCCCTGATTGCTACCTGAAGACCAGGAATGAGCCAGCAGATAATTTGTATTCTTAACTGGAGACTTACATTTTATCACTTGTCAAGGCAGGGATGAAGAGAATAAGAATATACCAGTGAGATGCTGTGCAAACATGAGGGAAGATGGTGAATCAAAAGAGCTTTAGCAAAGCCACTGACAGGCAGAAAGCAGGGCTGGATTTGAAAAACTATAAACTATGGTTATAGAAAACTAACACTGAGCACATAAAACAGAAGTGTTTGGGACAGTATACAAAAAAGGCTTCCTTTGTTGAGAGGCTGCTGCCACGGTCTCACTGAACTCGTTTCATCGGACCCTGCTCTGTACAGAGCCTCTTCCACAGCCCTCCACACCCAACTGCTGGTCAGAGCAATGGGGTCTGGGAAATCCAGGCATTACCATCTGTTGTGGGATGGGATACATCACCTTGAAAAAGGATGGGAAAAAATACTGCTGATCTATACTCTTGGGCTAGCAGAGCCTTGCACTTTAGGCAGAAGCCTCGTCAGTGCTCAGAGAGGAGACCAAGTCCACCAGGGACTGAACACGTGGCACACACCCAGCATCTGCACCACATGGTACTCCAGAGGTTCAGGTCTGCTGGCTATACTGTCCTTCAAACAAATTCCCAAGGATGATGAGACTGCTGATGGAGACTGTCAGCTCAGTGGTCCTAACCGATTTACAATTCCATCAGCTGAATTCTG